GTCTCAAGCTATTGCTCTGGGTAGAGTGCTGTGGAGTCACAGCTCACAGCAACTTCAAACTCTTGGGTTTAAGTGGTTCTGTTGCCTCAGCCTCCCAAGTAGCTGGGACTACAGGTGCCCACCACAATGCCTGGCTATTTTTTGGTTGTAGTTGTCATTGTTGTTTGGCAGGCCCAGGCTGGATTTGAACCCACCAGCTCTGATGTATGTGGCTGGTGCCTTATCCGCTTGAGCTACAAGTGCCACCTTGGTTTTGGTTTAATCCAATGTCCAAAGTCTTCATATTTAAATGTTCCAGACATACATAAGTGTGTATATATATGTATTATTATTTTTTTTTTTTGAGACAGTCTCTGTTGCCCAGGCTAGAGTGCTGTGGTGTCAGCCTAATTCGCAGCACTCTCAAATAACTGGGTTCACATGATTCTCCTGCCTCAGCCTTCCAAGTAGCTGGGACTACAGACACACTCCAAAACACCCAGCCAGTTTTTCCTACGTCTCACTCAGGCTTGTCTGGAACTTCTGAGTTAAGAGATGCTCCCACCTCAGCCTCCCAGTGTGCTAGGATTAGAGGCATGAGCCACTGCACCCAGCCTATATATTTTTATATATCTCCTCTATATTAACTTTCCCTGTTCCTCTTTTATTTTTGAAGTTTATTAAAGAAACCAACCAATTTGATTTGTGCAGTTTTCCACATCTAGATTGCCTCTCTGTGGTGTAATTCATCATGTTCTTCTGTTCCCTCTAGTTCCTGTAAATGGGTATTTAGATCTGGACTAGAGGCTTGATCAGATTCAGATTAGATTGTTCTAGCAAGAATACTTTATAGGTGGTGTTGGGTACTTTTATTTTTATTTTATGAGACAGAGTCTCACTATGTTGTCCTCAGTAGAGTGCTGTAGCATCACAGCTCACAGCAACCTCAAACTCTTGGGCTTATAAGCGATTCTCTTGCTTCAGCCTCCCGAGTAGCTTGGACTACAGGCGCCTGACACAACACCTGGCTATTTTTTGGTTGTAGTTGTGATTATTATTTGGCAGGCCTGGGCTAGGTTCAAAGCCACCAGCTCTGGTGTATGTGGCTGGCCCCCTAGCCACTGAGCTACAGGTGCTGAGCCTATTCTATTTTGGTGATGTTAGCAGTCATTAATTGTCATTGCCTAGGTCGGTTATTAATTGAGGGTTACTAAAATTGTGATAATCTCATTATATCAGTTCTTCATTGATTAACGAGGATATTTCCCTAAGGAAAAACTTGCCTTCATTCATTCGGATATGTTGAGAAACAGTTCACATAGAAAAAGCATAATTGCTTGGTTCTTTTCTTTCTTTTCTTTCTTTTTTTTTGCTTTTTAACCATTACTCAAAGAGTTGGTTTTATTAGCATCATTTAAAGGTGAACAAATGAGTTTTTGACTCTTGTCCAGTGATTCTAAATGTTATCCCTTGAAAGGATCTTTGTATCGGTTCTTAGTTTAGGTTGATAATTCCATGATGATTTGGGTGTCATTTATGTTTCTGGAGTTTTCTGTCACTTCCTGGTTAATGCACAGTGTATTTTTGTTTTCTAGGTTCATCTAGAAATTCATGTTCCAGCAGTCAATTCACAAGAAGAAGCAGACAGTCCTTTAGATAGTGGACAGGGCAGCTCTGAGACAACTGGGCCTTTGAGTGAAGAAGGTCTGTATAATTCAGTACTTTATTGTTTGGAATAGGATGTGGGAGCCTAGACTGTAAATGGGTTGGATTAATTTTATTCTTTTTTCTTTTATTAAATTATTAGTGCTCAAGCTTATTGTTTATTATAAAAGCAAAATAACGATGCTTGTACCTTTTTGAACCTATCCAAATATCTAATAGCTGGTTAGATCCATTCATCCTGTAGTAAAAGGATTTTTAACACCTGCTGGAAGGATTAGATTAGAACAACTTTACACATTGTAAATATATGTTATACTTCCCAGTAAGAGATATTTTTCCAGGGAAAATGTTTTTGAAATGTATTTTTAGATTTGCTTTGCTACAATTAGTTTTGATAGTAGTTACATAATTTCACAAGGCAATATTTGCTCTATCACTTGAACACTGAATATAGTATTTTTTTT